TTCCTTTTCTACTGTGAATCCTCTGTGCCTTGATCCTGCGGCTCAGGATCGTGCCACGTGATCTGGAACATCGTGGTACAGAGAAAAGAGAGATAAAAGGGTACGAGTCAAATTACAGTGAAAATCCAAAACCGAGGCTGACTTTCGATGACGAGAAACGCCTCGGGTAAGATAATACGAGAGTGAGTTCGATCATCTTTGTAACGAACCAGTTGTTATGCGATTTAGTTTATATGTATAACAATAGTAGCAATGATGGATGAGAACTAGATTTTTATGTTTGTGGTATCAGTTAGAAAAATGCGTTTTAGATAAACATTTATTTTATACTTTAAGAATTCGAATTAAATATTGATATTAGGTTGCTTCATAAAAGTGTTGATTGATTTGTTATATGTTTACATTGTTTATTGACATTCCCTGTCGCGGTCTCGCCGCAATACCTTTGGTTTAGTGAAAAATGATGGATTAGAAAATGATTCACTTTACTAGATTTTGTTTTTGGTAGACGTTGGTGAGTGGATCAGTCAGTTGTATGTATAATAGATTACATTTATTACATTTATTGTAATTTTTTTATTAAGATTTTCTCTGATGTTTACTTTGAAATATTTGCCAACCTTTTTACTTAATAATAAACAATTAAAAATATCCTAATCAAAAGTTCATGAACGCAGTGCATAAATTATTTAACGAAGTACTTTATTACTCGTTTACATAATTGATATGCGTAATCTATAATTTATACGCTGTAATCGGTAACGAGTAATAAACTATGTCGGGTTTCGTCCCGTGGAGCACAACAGGTTTGCAAATTTCTTTCGATTATCATTGAATCATCGTACGGATGGAATAGAACTGTCCATCAGCAGGGGAACGAGTAACAGAACCGGCTGTTACATTATTGCGCGATGGTTCCGCAGAACATTAATATTTCATCGGGATTCGCGTGTCTTCGCGTGCAGCGGTCCTCATTGATCGATCTTATCTATCGTTGAAGGAGAAAATAGCGATGATCTTCCGACTCGTACGACCGAGACGCGTTTCAACTCGAGCGTTGCAAACTCCCAACCGGACCGGCTCTAACGGTATTCAAAATCACTCCGAGCATCAGTGGCGAGTGGCGAGCATACATTAAGTTAGTTTTGAAAGTAAAGTTTTTTGCTGGCAACAAATTTATTTTAGAAATACACTAACCTGCATTTAATTTGATATATTTTCGATGCTATTAATATAATTTGATGGTATACTGCAGATTTTATGCAATTATAAGAAAATTGCATGTATTGCGTGTAATACGTAACACAATTCAGAGTATCAAGATTAAATGCATAGTTCAATGTATAAATGACCAAAGAAATGTTTATCTGAAACACATCTTTTAAACTGATACCATGAATATTTTATTTTGCATAATGATCCGAAGTTTAGTTATTATATTTGCTTGATGCAAACAATGTCAAACTTAATTTAGATTGTCAGAAACAACTTCAATTTAGATTGTTAGTACCGTATTCTGTAGAAATGGCAATTTCAAATTCGATGTAGAAGTGACTGTGCATCCTCTGTTGATTCCATGTACCATTTTTTAGAATCCTAGATCGCTTTGTATATCCTTGAGATCGAAAGACGGAGTTATGTTTATAACTGCAAGTCGCGTAGGTTGAATACTTTTTACGAGTGTCTAAGTTGTGAAATAATGCGTTAATTTTACAATCATTGCTAAAATAAGCTTACTACCGATAGCCAGATAGTATTGATTGCGCAATGAAAAGTAGTTCCGCGAAACCACTTATTGTTAAGTCGATATAACCTGCCATTAGTGACCTGTATAGAAAATAGGAAAAAAGATTCCAAGTAGATAATCTTTTCCAGCAATGTACTGTAATTTTTATGATCTTATTTATAGTCTTAAACTATCGACTTTTATGCAAAATAAAACATGTTTAATATCAATTTAGAAAATGATTCTTAATTTTATTATCGATAAAACTTTCTTAAATAACAAGAGAAAATCCTATCTAAAATAAATTTTTCTTACTGGTACTATAAATGTATTATCCATGAGAATGCATAGTCTAATAATAAACGTACCTTGTGGATCGAACATGATTCAGACCGAAAGGGTTAAAGCCTCTCTGAAACTTGAAGCAAGGAGAATTAGGATGGGTCCCGAAGGGTCAAAGGTTCCCGCGGTTGGCTGAACACGCATCAAGTACCTTTGCCCTCTTTCTCTCCCTCCACTATTCGCAAAACGCGCGAATCACGCGAGGCGCTTCACGATCTGTGAAACATCACGTGAAAAACACCGGCCGATCTTTGTGCACCGTGGGGATACCGATTAAATCGACAGGATATACATTATTGGCTATTCCGTTATTACAGGTGGTGGTTGAGGGGGAATAGTCATTACGGATCGATGAACTCAATTGCAAAGTCGCCGGAACACTGCGGTGACCATATTCTACCTCTGTACTAGGATAGTTGGCTGACTTTTGAGATTAACCATGTTTTGTCACATTTTTTTACTTTGTTTTAATAACCCTAGCAAAGGTTAATGCAAAATATGGGTTCACGGAAATTAACTTATCGTCCACATACAGAGTGGGGCAATAACTATTACCACCTCAAATATTTTCTAAACTATAAGTTTTACAAAAATATTTCTTGGAACAAGATTGCACAGTACGAAGGAAAATTCTTACTTAGATCTTTTATTGGAGACCCTAATGAAAAAAGTTAAAAATCATGCCCTGTACTTTTTTAATCGAGATTTCGACGAGTAGCAATCTTCCAAAATTTTTTGTTACGTCAAGCCACCTGAATAACTTTTACATTTCTTGACATAGAAAGGGAAATTTCCGACAAAAGTTGTTTGGTTTCGAGGAACACCTTAAATAGTGTACATAACTTTTCTGCAGGTGTAGGTGCTTAACGAGATTTGAAGATTAACTTTGATTTTTAAATGGAATGGGGTACTTCTTATAATCCAACCAAACAATTTTTGTCTGAATTATTTCTTCCTATCTCAAAAAGTGTAGAAATTATTCAGGTGGCTTGCCTTAGGCGACTCACCCTGTATAGTAAATTAAGTCTTTTAATGCCCTTAAAATATTAAGTTCTTTGGTCCAATACTAAAATCATTATTCAGTTTTGAAATGAGCATGAGTATTAATGGGAGTCACTGTACGTACTACTCGTATTGCAAGACTTCGTTCGTATATCAAGTTAAAATTTGTTGCTTATCTTGCAAAACACTCACAGATCAAGTTACTCGCAATCCAATATTTTACTGTATAAGATTTTCGATAATAAATAAATAATAAGATTTTAATCTTGTGCTTCAAGCAAGTGCATTTCATAGCAAAAATTAAGGAAACGTGATAAACGATTTTCATTGCGACCGGCTTTACTCTTAGCATTGTCTTCAATGACAAAGAGTACGGTTAAAAAAACTGTACCGCGATACGTAATCTCTTCCCTAACAAAGGAGCGAAACGGCAAGTCCTGTGTTTATTGTGGTAAATGTGAGGAACGGATGGATTATTACAATTTGGTCGTCGAAACGATCCTGCATCGCGTAATTAGGTAATGAACAGTTGCAAAAAATTGTAGCGTCGTGTCCGAGCTCTTTAATATCCCATTTACGTAAAAAGTTAACGACCGGAAAATATACCGCTCGACTACTCGAGGAAGTAGCCTGCAAGCGGGTCTTTTGTGTTCTCACGTTATAATTCGGACGGTTAGCTTCTTGTTCTCGGTTAATTCTATTGTGTATCAACTGTCTTGTCGCTTGATAGCTCCTTTTTCCTTACCTGAACTCACTATCGCAGTACACGGTTTCATTTTCGCACGTTTAGAATGAGAAATTACAGAAATAGTAATGGCTATACTGGATTTAGTTAGGTTGCAAAAAATGTGAGACATACATGTTCCATAAAGTGTGAGTAGCAAAATGCATATTATAATGCTTGGAGGATAAAGGGAATTACATTTTGCATAAATCAATTTCGCATAAAAATGTGCAATCTCTTAATTGCAAAGAAACATAATTTATATTTAAGAAATATATGGATGGAAAATAATTTCTATAGGGATTTATTATATCCTTGATAAGAATAGTTGTTTCGTGAATTATATTCCCGAACGGATTCTGATTATTCATAGCTGCTAATCGTATCTGTCTATTCTTTTTACGGTCGGCGAGCGGAGTAGCCCATTAATTATTTCCCTTTGGACCTGTTCCAGGCTGGGTATCTCGGAAGCCATGCCGGCTGATGAGTTCTCTGGAAACCGACACAGGAGCAGACCAAGGCTGCAACCACCTTAACGAACCGCTATTCTCATTGGCAAGGTCATCCCTCGGACCGGATCTCATCATGCTCACGCCGATCACGCTCCCGTTTCTTCGCCTGAACAACAACTGGAACGAGCTAGACATGTGAAATTAAAGAATTTCCAATTGAATAATAAAGAAGAATTTGTTGAAAATTGAAAGAATCCCGAGTCGACGAGGAAGAACGAGGAAGAACGAGGAAGAGGAAACGAGGAAAACTCTAATTGCTCTCTGATGGTATTTATCTCGGCGTTATTGCACTTGGGAGGCGTAAACGGGAGCTGGGAAGGAAGTACCCGGACACCGCTGGGTGTAATTATCTGCGTACCGATCCCGCTTCCGGCGCGTTCCTCTTGAAGAACGTTGGTCCCGGTTTTTGCTACGACGAACGCGTTAACGAGATAACTAGAATTAAGAAATAGGCCTGAGAAATATTCAACGACGTTAATTAGATACTTGAAGGGCACGTTATGTCTCGAGCGATGAAAGAAATTGAGAGAAACATGTAAAGGGACCAAAATACTTATTTCAATTATCATTTGATAGAGAAAACAGTAGAGTGTGAAGAGCAAGAAAAATAAAGTGGTTCTTGGGACCAAAATATTTAAATAAATACTTCCCTCACTGTTTTATTTTGTATAACACTTATCTCAATTATCATTAATAAAAAACAATATAGACTGTGAAGAGAAATATTTGAAGTAAAGATACATTCATTCTGAATTACAATTTGATAAAAAGGAGTGGAAGAGTACTCGTACCAAACTAAAGTGGTTCTCGGGGCCAAGTACTCCGCGGTGTAAGTTCTGACACTTGTCCCAGTTTCAATTTGATGAAAAAAGGTACTCGTAGAAGCGGAGAAGAGAATAATCATGCCCGCGCAGATGATTCTCACGCCACGTCACGAAGAATCTCATCTAGAGAATTCTTCTTGGAGTGTGAACAGAAACCTGGCTATGTAGACTTTCGCGGGCTTAACCAAATGCCGTCGCCATGGTGGAGCTGGCGTGCAGCAACTCCCTAAGCCCAGGAACTTAACCCTCTTCATCGAAATTTGCGAGTCAAAGAAGAAAACAGGAATACGTGGAACAAATTTAAATGAAAGAAGAACGGAAATTAAATAAAAAAAGAAAAATTTGTGAGGACAAGCAAGCGTTCGAATATATTTGACAATTCTTATTTCTTAAGAAGGTATTGTATGAATTAAGAAAGACTCATGTCCTTGGGGCCGAGAGTGGTGCAGGGCTTAGATAATCGTTGGAATTTGGAAAGAGGCAAGTCCAGCGATGTAGAGGAGCGGCCTTAACCCAGGCTCGAGTAATGCTGAAGCACATCCTGACGGGGCAACCGTCGTCAACGGGCTCCAGGCACCAGCACAATGACTACCAGGCGAGCTCGGGCTCGTTGCACGGCGGCCACCACCACCACCACCATTCCGGTCACCAGCAGGACCAGCAACAGCAGCAGCATCATCATTACAATCAAACTAGCAATATTCGCGGGACGCAGGGACGCGGAGTCGACGTCTACGACTCGGTGATCCACCAAAGGCCGACCGTGCATCATCAGACCGCCGCGACTCCGTCCTCGACCCACAGACATCCTCTGAACCACTCGCAATTAAGTGTGAACAATCTCTCTCAAAGATTAAATCACTCCCATGCTCTTAACTTATCGACGCTGTCTACTTCGAAGCATTCTGTGAACAGTGTTAGTCCGATCGCCGGCGGAATCAATAACAATAATAATAATAACGTCTCAACGGCGTTGGGACACACGGTGGTGACGCAGGTGCCTGGGCATCAGGACACCAGGCCCAAAGTGAATGGTGGCTTCGACATCTCTAGGCTGTCGAGGTTACCCAGCCAAGCTACACCTTCCCCCGCACCTGCTCTTCAAGGGACTGCCATTAGTGGACAGTTGCCTAGTAGTGGCGGTTGTACCGCATTTCCGTTGAACGCTTCCTGGTCGTCGTCCTTGTCGCGGAATCACAAGGACTGCGAGGCTGGGGCCAAAGAGACGTTGACGAGTTTGGGTTTGCTGTGTCTGGTGTCGTTGCTGCTCGCGTTACTCTCGTTGATCTTCCTATTGAAGATTTCGCCGTTAACGGTGACGCCGAGTAGTTTGATCAGCCCTGAAGAGTATACGATCGTTTACGAGGTGACATTGGCGCTGTGCGCCTTGGCGTTGTCATTAAATCTCTGCTGTCTGCTCGTCTGCGCTATACAATTTCTCTTCACCGTCAAGCTGGTCAAGACTTCGTATCAGGGACACTGGTAAGTTGGTTTTCTTGTTATTCATAAACGATGAAAAGTACAGTTAAGAGCAATGAGCAATTTTGATGAAGTTTTCAGCATATACTAGTCTTATATAAGTGATAAAAACGTGTTGTTTAAATTTTCACTAGAAATCCAGGTAGAAAAGACGTACACCTTGATTTAAAACTACAAGGATGCATTGGTCTGTAAATTGATACATATTTTCGATATATTTATTGACGAAAAGTTATTAGGATTCTTATGCACTCATTTTGTATGCACGTTATGATTGGTGTATGATTATGGGACGCTGATTAATAAAAACGGGACAAGCGGTCGATGAACGCACGCGCATACCTAGGCCATGGAGGACGACGCGGATTTTTGCGTTTCGTCCTAGGGGCCGCGTGAGAAGAAACACTAGACAGGCCTGTGATATATCGCACGGGATACGAGACACCGCGTTTGTTCCACGCATGGACGAATGGGAACTCATATTCCGGCACAAGGATAATCTTGATTGAGAACGTCGCCAGCGAGATTATCGAAATTAATGATAATCACTATTCGAGCCGCCTATTCTTATATTTATCCCTGCTACCGTAGTAACGACACTGTTAGAGAATCGAAATAAACAAACAGAAATAAATAAACAGAGACAGGCCATATAATTGATACAATGCTTTATTTAATACTGGATGCGAAGTTGGATATAATAGTAAAATTTCATATAATAATTGTTGTCATGCCATATACAATATTTCATATAATGATTGATATAATGCTTCATAGAATGATTGACACAATAATTTATATAATGCTTTATACAATACAATACAATTACAATAATTAGACACTTCATTTATTTTTTTTTCATTCGCAGACGACTGAGTGTACGTTGATTGAACCCGTATTTGAACAGTTTTGTCTTTAGAAGCGACACGAGTGGAATGAGATTATTGTATTATTTTAACGTAGACAAGATAAAACTGTCTCAAGACACGATTGTTTGCGTTTCTTCGGAAGTTTCTCTTTTCGTATCTTGTTTGTGTTTTAAATGTTGTAAAGATGACAGACATTTTACAAGTTTCTTAACGTATATAATATTTTGTTTGAAATAGACGTTTATCTCAAGACTTGATCGTAATACACACTTTGTTTGAATATATTGTTTGCAAATATTCAGGTAGTGATTTAAATTATAACAAATGTGTATCGGTCTGTAAAAAATTTTAATATTAATTGTCTTTTTAAATTAAAAAAGGATTCTTTTTAAATGCGAATAGATAAATATGAAATAGACGTTTATCTCAAGACTTGATCGTAATACACACTTTGTTTGAATATATTGTTTGCAAATATTCAGGTAGTGATTTAAATTATAACAAATGTGTATCGGTCTGTAAAAAATTTTAATATTAATTGTCTTTTTAAATTAAAAAAGGATTCTTTTTAAATGCGAATAGATAAATAATATTAAAAAATGAAATTTGGAAATAATTTTGTCTTATGTTTGATCATTTTTGATAAGCAGCTGCTCTAATAGTTAGTAGTTCTACTATTTTAAACCAATATAAATACGAATTTATTTTCTCCCTCAAAAAAACGTAACATGCATTTTTTGAATTCTTTAAGTACTATTGCATATTATAAGCATTTTCTTGCATACGTTAATTTTTTATAAACCTATAATATCAGCAGTTTAATGTTAATAATAGCCAAACATTCAACGCATTCAGTCTTTGAACTTATGCATGTGAATTCCCTTATCAATGTTCGATCAGTTTTTTGTTGCCAAAACAACGGAAGTATCGTGAGGACCTTAATTTCCCCCGATGGCAAGGCGTGTTAAATTATGCAGATTGAGCGAAATCGTCGGTCGAATCTGTGATTAAACGCGATTACTCTTACTCCCTGTTTCGAGTTTTCTGCTCGTCTATTTAATTCCGTTGTCTTTTGTGCGCTGGATCTCTATCGCGTACAGCAGGTTGCGATTCGCGTGGGAAAGTGTCATCGTCTTTCGCTGATGGAAGAATCTTTGTTTCTTGCCACGCCAGAGCGTTGTGTGATTGCTTGTAATTGCTTCTATCGAGATTTCTTGCGAACGTCACCCTCCGACCGTGTTCTTTTTCCCGAATATTACCGTGCGACTGCCCTTTCTTGCCGCTTCGTAATTTCAGTTGCAATTACCTACTTATCTATCTATAGATATAAAAAGGTGTGCTTTGACATATCAACACCTAGTCCAAATCCCTGGACCTACGAGCTTGAAATTTAGAGGATATATGTATGTATATCGTTCATGACGTATGAGTGCCATACGAAGGGATTTTGCCCCAGTTAAGTGGATGAAAAGGGGGTTAATGTGTTTTTATGGATTTATCATTTTTTAATTTGATTTGGTTTTTGCTTGCAAAGATTATCCATAAAAATACTTAAAAATAAGTTTCAGGATTTTGTCTTTATCATCATTTTTTTTCCATACACAATTAATGCGATGAGGAATCATACAAATAATTTTAAACAGATCGTTGTTATATGTTTATTGGATTTTAGCATGACATTAATGATATAAAATACTGTTTCAATTTTTAATATTCATAGTCAACAGTATCTGCAACTCTTAAAATTACCCGCGCTTTGAACAGATCGTTGTTATATGTTTATTGGATTTTAGCATGACATTAATGATATAAAATACTGTTTCAATTTTTAATATTCATAGTCAACAGTATCTGCAACTCTTAAAATTACCCGCGCTTTGTGAGCATTTATGACACATGGACGAACGGTTGCTTTCTTTTTGCCATAACTTTCGGCATGTTTTAATAAATTTTGAATAACATATTTCGGCTTCTACCTATTAATTTCGAAATTTTCGAAATACTTGTGCCTTCTCTTCTTAAATTCAAAATCAGTTTTATCTCTCCTTTGTTCAATTTCTTTCCGCGTCCCATTTTTGTGATTATTAGCACTGTTTCTTAGTAACAATTGCAATGAATTATTTAATACACGTAAGACTAAAGCATAATGATTACTCACAACGTCATTCAAAATGAATTTGTCGACTATTCATCAAATACTGATTTAAGGGAAGTCCTATTGTTTTGTCGTAAAGTGTAATGAATGAATACTGATTACGTTTATTTCCGTTTGATATGTATGTTCGAGATTGATTTGTTGTCATTCTTGTTTACATTCCCTGGCATTGAAGAGCACGTACCTCTCTTGTGTTATTATAGAGGCTGTTTGATTGGTAGAGCATTAAAAGCGGAGTTTGTTCAAGCTTAAAATATTCGTGGAACGTTGTGTCGTTATAATATATGCAACCGCTGCGTTATGTAATGTTTGTTTCGAGAACAAATAACAGAGAGAAGGAAAGTAATGAATGTTGGACGCGAGCGAAATTAGCTTTCGATCTTCAAAGAAGTCGTGCGCCGCGATTCCAGATAATAAAATTAGCATAGAATGAGATTTGGGAATGAATTCTCTGCTTGTATATTCATATACCATGAAGATTGGTTCTTTAGGAATATTTTTAAACAGCCTTGGTACTCATTTTGGAAATAAATGTTAGATTATGTTAACAGGCGGCGTACTTTATTCATTTATGCAAAAATGGTGCCTATAGAAAATATAGGAAATGTTTGCTGTGTATAAAAATATACAGAATAATAAAACCTGAGTATTATAGCAATTAATTAACGAAACAAATTGCTACATAAAATACATTCTTCTACCTGGTACCATGAATGTTTTACTTTAAATAAAAATCCGCAGTTTGATTATTAGATTGACAAAAAGGGATATTCTTATATTTTTAATGAAATTCTTTTAGAGTTGGTAGGAATTTGTTAAACTTTAAAACCGAAACATACATACATTACATGTCAAAACAAAAAATATTGGAACAGAATGAAGGTATTCTTTTCTCTCGGTGTTCCACTTATCGTTAGGGTAATGGATAGTCCTTTATCTACTTTTTGCATCGAGAGCTAGAGTTTCCATTTCTTTGGTACATGGTTTTCATTTCCACTGTTTATCTAGAGAATTCGACGGTTTCGAAGGGAATACCATGGCACGGTAGTAACGCGGTAGAATGGATACTAAGTATCACCAGAGAATAATAGTATGTACATACACGGCTGTACACACATATTTTGTAGCAGAGCGTGGTTAAGGAATAATATGCCAAGTGAATTACGGAATATATATATGGTTTAATATTAAATGAATAAACGTGTACATAACTATTATTATATTAAAGAATATTAACATACTGATCTATCTAAATGTACTGAATACGCGTAGACATGTTAGTCAATCGAACAACGTGCGATCGGTACAGGAGACAGTATGGACACGTATTTTATGTCCCTAGTCGGCGCTGTTGCGTCTGTTGAATATCGGAATCTCTATCATATTTGTTTACTTTCGAGCTTAGAATGTAACTCAGACTGTGGTAGAACATGGCGAAATTGTACTCAGTCAGATTCAGATGTTATATCAAAATTAATACAATAAATTATAAGTAGACTGTGCATCATTCAACTTCATTTATAAAACAACTGTATCAGTGAAAAGTTGCCTATAATATTCAAGAATAGTTACAGAATATCAAAAATGAAATACACATTTTAATTTTCAAGAAGAATAACAAATACCTATATAAATTGTATTATCTAGTGTTGATTGACTTGTATTTTCTAAAGTGACATCATAAATACTTTCATTTGCATGAAAATCCATAGTCTAGTTATAAATTGTGAATCCAAATATAAGAAATCAGAAATTACTCTCGTGCTTTGAAAGCATTCGAGTAAGAACATTCAGATATTCTTGGGTTGAGAATTTCCAGGTTACTAGTTGGGTTCAGGTTGTAAATTTGCAGCGATTTTTCAGGTATCGGTTGGCCAAGAGTTAAGGGGAGGAGATAATTCACATCGGAATTGCTCCTTCGATTAGCCGCATCTGTTGGCGTGGAAACCGCCGTTAGAAGACGGCGAAACGATACCGTA